TTATATATAATAAATTTATTATATATAATAATATTATAATATATAAAAATGATTGTGAAAATTGAAGAAGGGGAAAAAATCTCCGAATAAGTGACAAATAGAAAATAATAATAATAATAATAATATTAATAACAAACTTACCGTTTGATTTTCATGATCCAAATAACGTAGACCAAAGTAAGCGGTTTCTAAGAGATTCAAATGCCTGAATACTCTGTCCAGTAATTCCTGGCCAAGATTGGAGCTCTGTAACGAGATCGAAATGGTTATACAAGTTATTACCGTGGAATATCGTCGTCATTAGATAGATAGATAGATAGATAGATAGATAGATAGATAGATAGATAGATTGATAAATAGAAATAATAAAGAGAGAGAGAGAGAGAAAATTAGTTTTCGAAGGTAAGCAAAGTCATAGATCACCCGTATTCGATCTGTATACCTATAAGATAGATCGATAAATCGATGGATCGATCGATCGATCGAGCATAACGATTTAAATCACGAATTGTACGCGTCATTGAACACGTCTCTAACTAAAACTGGTCAGAGTATCTCGGAAAACTTTGTCGTCGTCGTAGTTTCTTTCAAGATTATTCGAGAAGAGTTGTCTTTCCTTTTCCTAAAAGTCTTTAGTTAAGATTTTCTTTCATTTCTTTTTATGTTTTTTTTTTCACGTTCGTGATTGATTTACTCTCATTGTCATCGATCTTTCTACCATTCGAAAATAGATTAAACATAGTATACATATATATAAAAAAATAATGACATGATACAAAATAGAAGTAGTATTTTAAATTTTAATGTTCTCCATTAGTGTTTTTTCTTATCTGTTTTTTAATTGCGTTCTTTAGGTTCTTCGTTGAAACGAAATTCTCTCGTTTCTCATTTCATGTAAAATAAATTTATTATGTTGTTTATACACTGTTTTATAATATCATAATATTCCTGTGGTGTATACAAGAAATTCTTTTTTATATTATTTTTTTCATTTTAAATTGTACAAAACATAGAAATTTTGTATGAAATTAAACACGTACTAATTATACATAAGAAAAATTTACATTAAATTAAACACGAATTACGTGATATCTCATTTTTTTTCAAAAATGGACTTACACCACTTTCAAAATAAACGATCCAATTATAAATGATTAATTAATCTTCTTTTTTTTTTTAAATCGTGCAAACGTTTGTCAAAGAATTACAAAAGAAACTCCTCCATTGCATATAAGTTTGATTCCCCCCCCCCTTCTCTCTTGTTACAGATATATAAAAATTTCCTTATTAAATCAATTTTCTCTTTCTCTCTCTCTCTCTCTCTAATTATACACATTTACCGTATACATAAATTAACTTTCATTGTTGTTATTGTTTTTTTTTTTTTTTCTTTTTATCCTCATATGCACCCACGTATGCAATTGGGGACTTTCGTTGTTAAATGGCCTTTCTTTTTTTTTTTGTCTCTCTCTCTTTCTCTTTCTTTTCGTTATTTATGCAACATATACACATACATATATATAGAAGGTCCGAATAAACGGAGATCGGAATGGGTGGTTTCCGTTTCTCAAGCGAGCCGTGACGTTGTTCTCTGGGTGTAGTACTATGAGAGGAAACGAACGTTCTTTTCCCTCGAGGGAGGAAACTAACGGCGAATTTCTCTCTCTCTCTCTCTCTCTCTTTCTCTTTCTCTTTCTCTCTTCTACGTATTTCGTGCACCTCTCTATCGTTTATTCTACGTCTATGCGTGAGTATACGTGGAGAGTATATACTCTACGTACACTCTACGTGTGTAAACCCCTTATGGTGGAAATATTCTCCTGTTTGCTCGTAATTAGCGTTTCATACCCCACTCTTCTTAACAACGTGCTCGTATCCTTCATCTCACTCTCTCTTCCCTCTTTTTGTATTTTTGAAATGAAAACTATTTTAGAGAATTGTTATGATTTGAAACTCGATGAAATGCAATCGATGAAAACGGAAATTAGAAAATGACATTGAAAAGAGACAAATGTATATTATCTATTATAAAATGTAGTGTTTGCGAGAGAATAAGATAGAATACAGTAATATACAGTGTTACCTGTTATCTCAGTCTCCTTTTAGTACGATGCTTCGTACAATTACTATCGTACATTACATTTAAACGTTAAATTAATTTTATATTATATTGAAATATAACAAACACTATTTAACCGTTGATTTTTGACAATATATATATCGCGAGTATGACATCGAATCAATTTAATTTGAACGTTTTGAATGAAATTTGTGCATTGAATGAATATTGAAATAACAAATATTATTTAATGATTCACTTTGATCATGAAAATGATATATTAAATTAATTTTTCAATTTAATATAATACGATGTGTGAAATAATTGAGATCAATTTATTTTATATATATTTTTTTTTTGGTTTTTTTTTTTTTTTCTGGATAGATTTTGACTTATTATATCACTTTCATAATTATGAGCACATATATAAGGTGCGATGGGGAACACTTTCCTGATACGTTTCGCGTCTACCAGGGGCAATACTTTGTCGAGAGGTCAATGGCAAGAAGAAGGAAAAGGTATAGCAAGAGAGAAGAAGAAGAAGAAGAAGAACCATAACGCCACCACCACCTCTCCTCTCCTCTCCTCTTCTCTCTACTCTTCTGTTCTCTTCTTTTCTCCTTTATCACCTCTTCTCATTTTCTTTCTCTTTCTTTATTTCATGGCGTCGATTCCCTATCTGGATCGTAGCATCGTGAAATTTATTGTGGGTGCCTTGAACTATCTACCACCGACATCTATCCTCGCTTGGGTTGCACCTGCACTTTTACTACGAGACCAGAGGTGCCAACCACCTTCTTCTTCTTCTTCTTATTTGTATTCTTATTTTTCTTCTTATTTTTCTTATTCTTTTTCTTGTTCTTTTTTTTGCTTGTTCTTTTATCTAATTTTTGTGGTCACCCTTCGCATCATGGATTCAACAATTTCTTCCCGTATTCTCTAGGACCATTTGTTTTCCGCGTAGAAAAGAACGATAAGAATATAAATAGAAAAAGAAAGAAGATTGACCAAAGTTTTTCCACATGACACCATTATTTCTCGTGAGTTTTATCTTCTTACCCATTTGATTCGCGTTCACCGTGCGTGTCATTGTACTTTCTTATACAATCTATTTCGCTGACATACAAATTATTATATTGCAACTTAATTCTTTCTTTCTATCTTTCTTTTTATAGAGTCACATTTTTATCCGCGTGCATAATTGTTTTATCTTATAATTATCTTTAATTATAATACTTTTACACGCGAAACATTTTTAACTTCGTCAATTTGCCACTAGATTTATCATTGATGATTTTAATAATGGCATTCGCAACAATTGCAAACGAGAATGAGTTTTCTACCTTCTCGAATGTTACTCAAAGAGTAAAAATAAGATGAAGATGAAGAAGAAGATGAAGAAGAAGAAGGTGGAGGAGAAACGTCCAACAACGATGTCCAAGGTTTACTGCCTAACTCGACCGGTTATTCCTGCGAAACCTTTTAAATCTTCGTAATCTGTATGTGTATATATGTTTGCATGCGTGTGTACATGCACAAGGGATTCCGAAGCTTTTCAAAAGTTTCGAGAAGAGCTTGCAATAGCAAAAATACTCTCCTCACATTTGAAATTTGCAATCGGAAATTGTTTCCTTTTGAACGAACGTTGTTTCATCGATATATTAGGGGTTAAAAAAATAAAAGACTCTCGTTTAAACTGTGAACAGAATTTTGTTCTTAAGGGTTTATACATGGATTTACACTGGGGAAAAAATAACATATTTTCAACAATTTTTTTTTCTATACAAAAAATGGAATTCTCATTCAAACTTTGTATAACATTTAAGATACATATTTTTAATGAACATTTTCTGAAATGTTTGTTGAAAAATATTTTAAACTCCGCCATTGCGATGTAATGTCCGATGAACCCTCACCGAAAAAAAGTGTTTTCGCGTTGATAGCAGAACTCATGAACGGTTGGGATCTTTTAGTTGAACAAAAAGGGTCTTTTAGTGAATACCTAAAACTAGAAATTGGACGAAGGAAAAAAAAGAAAATTGAAATTTGGATTTTTAGCAAGGTTTTTAGAAAGAACATTCAAATTTCGTTACAATTTGCACCACATTTTGGTTCTATAAAATTAGATGTGATGAAAAAAAAAAAGAATCCTTCGTCCAAGTCCTTGTCAATAGTATCTCGAAGACGTGTAGCAAATTTCATCAAGATCGGTTATATAGTTTTCGAGAAATCTTGAGAACCAACTTAAAATTTTTGAATGATGATAAAAGTATCATTGAAGAGTGAAACTTCCTAAGGCTATATCTCTTAAATTATTACTCCTATCTACTTCAAAATTAAAAACAATATTCTAGACAATTTGTAGAATTTAATAATTAATTTTTTTTAAATCCCAAACCTATGTAACCCCTTAACACGCCGATTGGGTATAACCACATTCCCGCCATGATTTTCGAATATTAGAGTTTCGAACATGCGCGCGTTACGGAAGTTGGGTATATCACGGTTCACGTGACTTCAGCGCCTACTACGTTAGTCAAAACACGTCTAACTCTCTTCGTCCTCGTCCTCGTCCTCCTCCTCGTCCTCCTCCTCGTCCTCCTCTTTCACCGACAGTCCTTCGAAAGAGAAAAACTTCCAAGTGTGTTCCATAGTTGAGTTCGTGTATTGTAAGAGATCTGGCCCGATAAGCGGGACGCGAAGTAAATGAAAAATGCCGTTCGTTCTTCCCCCTCACCCGCGCACCCACCTCTCCTTTTTGTTCTTTTTTTTTTTTTTAAATCCTTCCGTTATCATTACACAACCAACCGTGAAGTTTTTCCAACGATTTTCCTACGATTTATAAAATCGTTTCATGATTAAAACACACCAATCGTAATAGTTCAAATTGGCGGGAAATTTGAAAAACAAAAGCAAAAGAAAACTTAACAATTTGGTTTTCTTTTTTTTAATAATTCAAAATGAAATTATATGAGATAAAGGAATCAGGATTATCGTGTAGATAGATTTAGTCGACGTTTAAAAATAAGAAGAGAAAAAGACAGACAACTAGCATTGAAGTTTTATCTCTCTTCTTCCCTCACAGCCCTTTTACCCCCTACCATCCTCTCATCTCCTCTTCCTCTTCTTCCTCTTCTTCCCTTTCACATCCACCATCGTTCTTCTCGCGGAGGAGTTCGTCCGGCTT